AAGAAGACTCTGAAACTGAAGCAGAAAGACATTTGGGGTGAGGCAGAGAGAGAGGGGGACAGCATAGGGGAGGAGGAGAGGAGCTGGTTAAAAATATGATACAGGGTTTCAATGCCTCTCCCAGAGGGAATAATAGATTCAAACTTGGCCAAAGATGGACCACACACACACACACACACACGCTACATGAATGCACCACACATGCACATGCAGAAACACACACAGAAACACATGAGCACAGCAAACTGTACAATTCAGCCATACTAGAAAGCAGTCCAGGTTAGGCAGACAAGAAGGCAATTTGGATAAGAAACTTGTGCAGACAGTTTAGCCAGAAACAGAGGGAGAGAAAGAGACAGAGAGGATCGACTGAGGCGGAGACAGCCAGAGGAATGGCTCATTAAATTGACTGTGAAGGGTTGTAACAGACAGTTTGGGTTTTTTTGTTAGACAGGCTGAACATATCCACAGTTGCAGGTATCATTACACAAATAGTTTTCTCCGTAAAGCCACTGAGAACTGCTGGTGTGGAATTAATCAACAGCTTTCATACAAGAATAGCACAATACAATCTGCCTTGTTAGTCAATTGTGTAGTTAGTTACATTAGGTGTGAAGGTAGTGTAGTTTAGTTAGGGAGTGCATTTCTAATGCTGGAAAAGAAACTAACAAAAAGAGTGATTTCTACGGCTGTAGAGACTCAGAAACGTCAGCATGTTGCGTCGTCAGTAGCAGTGAAATGCTCGGGAAACATTTCTGCTAATCCCAAATCATACCTATCTCCTCCCTCATTTTTCCCACTCATTCCTTCTAGGGCTGCAGCTAACTTTGTAAGCCATGACAGCGTGACAGTGAGCCGGCGTGAACAACACCAGGACCCTGAAACTGAAGCAGCTAAATGGAATTTTAGCCATCATTTATTTTGTTATTTTCACCTGTCCTTTACCTACTTTGACCCGTCATAATGTCTTGTGAAAGAGGCCTGTAAGAATGATAAAAGTGTCCATTGTCTAACCCCCAACATATGCAACAAAGCTAACAGGAGAGTGAGGAAGATCATGTCAATCAAGAAAGGCAACGTAAGGGAAAACACCTGTGTAAATGGGTATGAAATGTCTTCCATAAATATCAAACTTTTGTTTCTGTCAGTTTAGTAATTGACTAATAGTTTAATGAAATACACTTTCCGCATTTCATTTATTCTTCTTACACTTCGTCGGTGTCCTTAATGTCATTTTTTATTGGCCATATCACTTCCTCAGCTCCTTTGTATTTTCTGCTCCAGTGCTTGCACTTGGGCAGCGGGTTACATGTCAGGGCTTTCTCTTAGGAGCAAAATCTGTGAACCGGTGGTCATGGACCATTAGTCCCACACAATCTGAGACATTAACCTCCATCAGCATCTCTCACCTATCTAAGCCTGTTCTGTGTGTGTGTGCACCCATTTGAAAATTAGATAAATATGACTCACTGAAGTACGCTTGTCATACATAATATTTTGTGACAGTGAGCAAAGACTATGTGCATTTTTGTGGTAAAGCAGGAACGCAGGCTTTCTCTGTATACCTCCCCGTCTCTCTCGCATTCCATTCCCTGTCTCTATTTTCCACCCATGTTCTGGATGAATCACACTCACCCAGGAGAAACCAATAAAGGGCACTTCAGGGATACATTTCCGCCAAGGCGGGAGATCACTCTGTGCTCTGTGACATAAGAAATACACATAAGAAACATGTACTGCCACTTTCAATCAAGTAGGGACATGTGAAATGTATGTGGCCAAAGACGTGTGTGCTGGCAGTGATTAACAAAGAGTCTAATTAAATGTTCTTGCCTGCCATAGCTGTTTCCAGGCAAATGTTCGGTAAAAATGCAACTAGGTTATAGAACATGTGTGTAGTTAGGGATGGGGATCGAGACCTGGTTCCAAAAGGACCCAGTTCCAAAATTTCTCAAAACTGGAAAATCAGTAAGGTTCTTTCAGTAAGGTAATTTGAAGCGCAATTGAGCGAGAGGCTGCGCCGTCACGGTGGAAGACGGTGAGGGTTAAGCTAAGTTAGCTCCAAACTACTGTAACGTTAGTTGATGACAACTACGCTCGTTACTGTAAGTACGTGCAATAAAACCTTCGCAAGTAAAAAGACAATACTTTATCAATACACCTGTCTGTAACGTTAAACATGCAGAAATGGTTAATTTAATCATCTCTGTCCTCAGTATCACATCCTGTATGTTTTAGACAAGCACAGCTAACGCTAGCTTGGCATTAGTCAAATGTTAAAAACAAGCTAAATAGAAAGCTGTCTGTCTGGAGCACAGACTGGTCTGTAGTCTTAAAAACTCAGCTGCTGGCTGAAACAAACCAGCCGCTCCTCCTTCTACCTGGTAACGTTACCTGCAGCCGGCGAGAGAGGAGGGACTGATACAGACTGATGTTGTTCTTTCTAAACCTCACTCACTAGTTGTGATGTCAGATAAAGTTATTGAGTTACTTTGCTGTTGTAAACATTAATGTTGCTGCTCTAGAAACAACATTTAGCTGTATTTAAAATATTAAATTAAAAACAACCAGGCAGTTAACATGTACACTTCAATATATGTTAATTTATTGCAAGTGATATGTCATCTCAATATATAACGTTATCGCACATTGAATATTTTCCTCATCCCGTGCAGGCCTACCTCATGGCCGTTGGGTCTGGTCTTACCTAATAACCATCACTAAACAGTAAAGTATTGATAGTGGTATCGATGAAGAATCGGATCTTTAAGCAGTCTCAATAAGGGTATCAATAAAAATTAACGATCCCCATCCCTATGTGTAGTGAAATGGGATTAAGCTTGATTTGTGGGCTTATGTTTGGAAATACACATATGCAAATTGTGTAAAACTGGAGTTTCCATGTAAAAAAAGTCCAGAAAAAAATGAGATCCCATATGTCCAGATGACCCCTTTGGACTGGCTACAGCAACTTTAAATGGGCCATGAGTTATGAAGCTGTCGGGACTCTAAATCAGGCATTTGGCAGGGAGGAGGAGGACTGGAGAGATGGAGGAGGAACAAAAGGGGGTCAGAGACGTGGGGGCTGAGGAGAAAGAGGAACAGGAAAGGAGCAGGAGGAAGAGATGGAGGAGGAGATGAAGGGACCCGAGATTTGACAGGTGAATTAGAAGGAGAGACTGAAGAAGAAGGAGGGAGGAATGTTTCATGTTGAGGGAGGAGGATGAGGAGACGATAAAAGAGGCGGGGACATTGGGGAGAAAGAGGCGGGAGGTGCTGGCAAAAGAAGACAAAGCAATAGAAGAGATGACTGAAGATGAAAACGGGACAGAGGGAATGCAGGAGGTGGAGAAACAAAACTCATGAGACACAAAATAGGCAGGTGGAGGGGAAGGAGGGCCAGTGAAGTGGTTGGATGAAGAGAAGGAGGAATAGGGAGATGCTGGAAAGGAGATGAAAAGTGATGGGGTGGGAGAGAGTTGTCTGTTTAGCTTCCCCCACAAGCAGGCAAAAGAACAGAGCAGTGAAAGGAAGGAGGATGGAAAGAAAGCCACTGTTTGGGCAGTAATAAAGGTCAGGGACTCAGGGGGCGTGCTGCGGTCTGACACCAGGACACACAGAAACCTACCAGACAGACAGGAAGACAGAGACGTGGGGTTAGTAGGCAGACAGACATACAGACAGACAGAGCGGGAAATTATTGGTGTGCGTGACAGAGCTGATAGAAACATCTGATTTCCCACAATAAAACTAAAACACAGCTAATTATCAGCACAAAAGGCAGCAAATGGTTACGTAGACTAATAATTATTCTAAAGTATATGATAGGCTACGCTCCTCACAGCAGTATGGTGTTGAGGGGTACATCACACATAGCCTACTGTGATTATTGTTTGCCACAGTCCATGCAGACATGTATCCTGTGGTGCTGCATTTTAAGTGAATCCTTGGCTCTGGTTACAGAGGCACTGAAACACAGTCAGGGTGGATTTTAATACTGATAAGAGTCAAACTTCTCCAAAAGTCACAATGTATATCATCAACTGAATTGTACAAGCCCTCTGTAATGTCAGTAATCTTTCCACAACTATAGTGGAGACTTTTTTTCCAAAAAACTATAGTTCAAATAAATGAGATATATTTGCATAATTTCTGAGAACATGTCCTTGGATATCCTCAGTGGTACACAAGTCTGGACCAGGTCTGGACACAGAAATTTCTTTTTTGTTTAGGCTATGTTTAAGGTTTTATGGTTTTTAAATTAACAATCGACTGTTGTTTTTTTCTGGAATTAATAAGATTTGTATCTTTGAGCGTAATACTGTGTAACTTTACAACAAGGGCAGCAGTATTAAAGTTACTTGCAAGTATGGTTACATTAGGCTGATAGGCTACATTCTCCACTTTATATGATAACATGACTAAGTTACATTTTCTTTATAACAGAAGAAGCAGCGCGATTATGTGGACAACTTGTATAGGCCTATGTATTTTGCTGTAAATTAGGTTATTAACGTGGTCGCCCGCTAATGTTAGGCCTATTATTTCAGAGTTTGCTAAGTGTTGACACACAATTACCATTTAATTGCTTTGAAAAAGTCACACAGCAGTGCATTACCTCCTCTCCACATCACCACGATATCTCTGCGTCATTTGTTTGACAAGAAAATCTCAACACACAGGGTCGACTTACGTTGTGTATCTAACATTAATGCTTTACACCACATTTCGTGGCCTTCCTCGGAGGCCGGACCTGCTTTTTACAGATTAATGAAAAGGTAGTTAATGACCTCTCTCACTGGGACCACGTTCGTTTCGCCATGTGAAAATGTCCACGGTGTATGTGGATGCAGCCTTTGCCTCAGGCAAACCGATAGACCTGAGCCGCGCGGATTTGTGTTTAGTACACTGCCGCCATCTCGTGGATTTTACTGGATAATTTCAGCATCGCTTCCGTTCAGTATGGACCTTGCAGGTAGCCATAAGGCGGAGCAAGTGTCGCCTTAGAAACGGACAAGGTTTAGGTCAATGAGTAGCGGCAGGAGCTTTCTAAACTTCACTGAATTACTCCCGAAGCAAAAACGCCTTAGATGTGCAGTTAACTTACCGAAGCCGTGATGGCTACAAGCAACCCGTCGGTGTTTCTTCTCACAGTGAACGGACAGATTGAGGGAGCGAACGTGAGTGGTTCCTCTGAGTTTTAGCCGTCGTTAGCCTAGCAGCTAATTTCAATCAGCGATAGCAGTAACGTTACTCAGTCTCAGCTACACCGTGGCGTGAATTTGTCTCAATTCTCAGTTTGTGTGTCGTCACTACTTCCAGGGATAAATGTGACATTTCTTGTTGTATTTCAGTTTCCAGAGTTTGACAACTTGTACTGCAAATATTGTTTTGTGTACGGCCACGACTGGGCTCCCACTTCGGTGAGTAAATTAGCTAACGTTAATACTCACATGGTGACCGAGATTATATTTAGTGTTAAATTAGTATTTTAATGTTCTGGTCGAACTACTCATTACTTCCCGCTGGTTATTTTATACAATTGTGGAGTTTTCTATGTCACTTTACTTTGCTATCTGTTCATGTCTGATATTGCAGATGTTTTGAAAGTGCAGTGCCAGTGTTCTGAAAAACATGTATCATAATGTACAGACGTTTTTTTTTTTACATGCATGAAATCTTTACAAAATAAAGTTATTATAAAGCAGTTAAAATCCTGTTTGGTTATTATCTTACTACAAGTGTCTACTTATGTTTCTCTTCAGGGTTTGGAAGAAGGCATCACTCAAATAACCTGTAAAGGCAGTCAGTCTTCACACAAATTAATATGGAACTTCCCACTGGAGGCAACGTTTAAGAGCACAAACCCCTCTGGATGTGAGCATTACACACATACCACAGAAGGACGTTTGGTAGCTGTTGCCTTCATTCATCCATTGATGAACATCTCTGCTCTTTCAAAAATGATATTACACATACACTGTAGAAGATTAAAAAATATCACTTGGTACAAAATGAAGACTGAATTTTCATTTTTCAGGGCCTCAGCTTGTGGTGAGTGTGTATGGTCCAGACGTGTTTGGAAACGATGTGGTCAGGGGCTATGGAGCAACACACATCCCCTTCACAGCTGGACAGTCAGTATTTCCTCCATCTGCTTTTTTTAAGGAACGCCTATCCTAGGCACCGATTTATTTAGTAAACATTCACATCCCTGCCTACAGCATGTCCAAGCTTCCCTTAAAAAAAGTAAGCTTGGACAAGGTGGGATCTGATTTTGATTGGCTTTTTAAAGAATTGCCCTTGTTTACTGTCTGTATTCATTTCTCAGGCATCTACGAACCATCCCCATGTTTGTTCCCGAACCCACATGGAGGCTTCAGAAATTCACGAGGTGAGATGTGTGTACAGTCGTGTGTTTGTGTATTTGCTTTTTTGTCTCAGCAGCTGTGGCACTGCGGGTGATGAGTTGTGCCTGCAGGGGGAGGCAGACGCTATCTGAGCGTTATCAAACACTTACTGCTTCTGTGTGTGTGAGAGTCCTACAGAGGATACAGTCGTAGGCCCCTGTGGTGAGAATACTCAGTACATGTTGTTTGCCAGCTGCTGTTATCGGTGTATGGAAAGACACACAGAAACGCAACATTTGTGATATTTTGTCTTCCCACTCGCTGTGGGAAAGTGTCACAAGTAGGTGGTGCTTTCTCACTCATGCACTCTACCTAGTTGTACTTTAAACTACATGTACTTTAACACATCACATCCTGTGTGCCAGAGAGGCATTTACAGGGGAGCGATTTTAGGATAGGAAGTGCATAATATTTTGATGTCCCGACAAGGTTAAGCTTATGCAAAAGAAAGTTGGAAAATTTATTTTTAAAAATTAACCGGGGTGGTGATGGCACATAGATAAGATGTTTGCCTTTGGTGTGGGAGACTTGGGTTCGATTCCCACTGTGAGACATCCACCATTGTGTCCCTGAGCAAGACACTTAACCCCTAGTTGCTCCAGAGGCGTGCGACCTCTGACATGCATAGCAATTGTAAGTCGCTTTGGATAAAAGCGTCAGCTAAATGAATAAATGTAAATGTAACCAGAAACAGAATGACACTGACAAAACAATGTCTGCCATGAAGTACAACCCTTATGTGTATACTGTATACAGTGTATAGGCAGCTCAGATTACTTGGAGGCGTAATGAGTTTTAACATGTTTTATGTCCTCATTCAGCTGGCTGTTGGGACGGCGACCTGAGTACACAGACCCTAAAGTAGTGGCCCAGGGTGAAGGCAGAGAAGGTTTGTTGTGTGTCTGTATTTCTTTATTCTTTTTACAGTGTTTACAGTAACAGTTGTTCTCACCTTCTCAATACAGAAAGACATTTTGGTGAAACACAATAAAATGTGTACAGCAAACTCCTTGAACCAAACATTTCTAACATGAATCACGAATAAGTAGGTGGTTTACTTTTAAGTAGATCTGGACGAGCACAATAAAAGTAACTTGACTGAAGACTGGCGGTTTGAAAGCTGGGACATGCTGTTCGCGCCAACAAATAGATGGTTTGAACTCTGAGTATAATGCAAGTTTTCAGCCACTGATAAATGTTAATGCATATTGCCCGTAAATAGGTAGAGTAGAAATCTTTTTTCTTTGGTCATTTATGCATTTGTTTTAAACACGATTATGACATTGCTTGAATAAATTATGTGACTTATGCTATGTAACAGTTTTCAAAATAATATCTTCAAAATGTCTTTCACAGTGCAATGCGTCCTTTATTTTTTGTGTTGCAGTGACGCGAGTTCGTTCCCAAGGCTTTATCACAGTCTCCTTTCACATCCTGACTAAAGACATGAAGAAACTGGGTTACGACACGGGACCATCGAGCCCTGCGAGCACACAGTCCACCACATCTGGCTGGTCAACAGAGGAACAACCGTACAAAATGTAATCACAAGACTGTTTGAGACAATTAGTTTGGTCCCGACCTAAATGAAAGCACTAAACACATAAAATATGAAATGACTTGTTTACATCCGCAGTACAAAAATCCACAATGCTGCACTTCATTTTTTTAAATTTAGAAATTAGATTGAGATGTATTCATATAAGCAGTTTCAGATATTTTTATGGTATTGAATTTGTTTTACTAAATTTTTACTTTTTTTAAATAAATGTGGAATTTACCTCTGAATTGTTCATGTTTTAATGTAATGCATGTATATATTAAACACAGTCGTCACTGTAGTTGTTTGGACTTGGACACCCCCCAAAGTTGTGTGTGAAAATGTCAGTTTTAAACTCATGTTCAGACATATTGGTTTAAAAAAAGAAAAAAAAAAATACACAGACAAACTGTTACAGAGCTGAAGTGATATACATTTTATTTTGAACCAATGCAGCTACAGTTGTCCTCATCCGCCTGCTGCCTTTGTATGTTTAGATGCTGTTAAAATACCGTGGTGACTTTTCCTACAAAAACCCATTACACAGAATAATAAGGTATACAGAGGAACAGTATGTTACAATAGTACAAATGATAAATTATATTATACAGTTATAATGCCAACAGGTTGAGCACATATCCAATAAAAAAAAAAGCAGCCTGCTCCCAGTACTATGAGAAGGGTAAATAGACAGACATTGAAAAGATTAAAAGGAGGCCGTTTATGCATATAAAGACAGACAATCCGTAAGGTCAGTTAGTCCTCTTGATAAAAAGCATAATGAATACATAGTAACACGCAAGGGAGCTCGCTACACAGAGGCCACATTTTCACTGCACCATAGCCACGACTGTGAAACTGCTGCCAGGGATCAAGAAAGTGTTCAACTGCAGTGTCCTCTAACTGTTTGGGAGTGCTGAATTTGTCCAAGACAGTACAAGTTTTTTTTGTTTGTTTTCTTCAATGCATTGATAACCTTTTCCACAATCACTGGAGTTAAAGTTAAAAGGTCAGGCCGCAGTGAAATCAAGGCCAGTGAGAAAGTGACACGTCTTAGCTAGAATATCATAGTAGTATTTCAATAAACAAGACTTTATTAGCAAATCTAACGCTGCAAAACACATCAAGCATTAAGTCTTATGTTTTTTTACCAACTCCAATTTTTGCATATATTTAGTTGAGATTAAAAATGTTTGCTGGTCTGCAGGTCTCATCACATCCATTCATTCAGGATCACCCCCACCCCAGCATAAAAGTCATCATCGACCTCAGCATCATCATGAAAACCATACATACATTTGGAGCTGCCCCTCCTATAGCCTGAGAAATGAAGGTCTGCGTTTAATGGAAATATCAAGGGTCCTGCAGTGTAGCTATCATGCCACAGCAGACCTGGAGAGGGCGCCATCTCACGCCCAAATGAAAAGGGGAAAAAAAAAAACACCCCTCCACAGTAACCAAACTGAAGAAAAGGGATTACAGGGACCGAAAGCGAATAAGGGCCTGTATACCGGGCGCAATTCATCAACTGTATTTCAACAACCCACTTCTCTCAACCAACAGACACGCTCAGCTTGCTGTCAGTAAATGTATTCAGCCAACAGTAACACTTTCTTACACAAACTCCTGCACAAATAGCTCTGAAATATAAAAAAGTATAATAATGAAGTCACTGATAAGATGAGCATCCATAAACAGAAAAAACAATGTCAGTGAAGTGTGCCCCTACTGTTCAAACTACTCAAAGTACGACATCCTCATAAATCACAGTCGCTATGACTTTGGTAACAGTTGTGCTTCTAAGAGAAGAGAATTACATAGCCTACCCATAGGGTGAAAAAACTAGAGTGACAGAAAATAGACAAAAGAGAGAATGAAGATGATACATGTTAGTACGCAGCTCCAAAACTCTGAAAAGACTTGGCTATGGATTTACATCTAATGAGTAAATTACAAAAAGTAACCAACAAAATGAACAACTGCTTGTTTACATGACATGTCTCACTGTTTGCTGCGGGATCACCTGTGCTAACAACAGACTGATGAGTGTGCGAGTGTGTGTGTGTCCACCAGGTAATGTTCTTGCAGATAGATTATCCACAGTAAATCCACTCAGAGGTAAAGTCTCTTCTGAGTGGCTGACGTGCCCTTTAAACCCAGGGCTTTCTTTGCAACCCTGTCACCATAGTAACACTTCTTGATCTATGGTTGCATACACAACACAAGCACGCACACACAAACACTCACTCACTCTCTCTTAAGGCTGCAGATGTCTACATTATCCCTCTGGTTTACCGTCATTTTAGATGCTAACGTAAGCAATTTCTAAGTCACTTCCATTTGACTGCGTGAGAAATGAAAAAACTTGCTCATTAAAGTACACTTGGAAGCTAAACGTATCTCTCATGCAAACTGAGCGTGCGCGCACACACGCACACACACCAACACACACACAACCCACCCTCTTCCCTTTGACCCTAGAAACAAACTAAAAAGAAAGCGAAAAAAAAAAAAAAAAAAAACAACTGTCCCATGATGCCTCACTGCATCCATGTATTTGATGCAAAATACTGATGCCATCACAGTTCTTGTCTTTCTCTCTAAACGCACACTGGGGAGACTTAGTGACAAATACATCAACATGTGGCTGTTAGTATTCGAGCATTAACAGTACACCTGCGCATGAGCACACACACTAAAATTGCGTTTGCGCATCTTTTCACCCCCTTAGGACAAGGGGTTTATCTCCACTGATGAGTGTTCATTGTTTATCCCGTGACCCCTGGAGGTCAAAGTTCACAAGGAGAGGGGGTAATGGGAAAAGGTCCAAGCTGATGTGAAGTGACCAGACAAGAGTTGTGACCGAGTGGTACCGAGAGCCGAGGCAGTGTGTGTTGTCAAGGCCCATTAGCGGCTAACCTCCCTCCCTTAGCTAAGGTTTAACGGTGAGCCCAACAGTCGCGGAAAGAAAGGGGGAAAAAAACGAGACAATAATTGTGCAAAATCCCTGCTTAGTAACACACACATACACACACACACGAGTATAAACACATCTGACCATCTCTCATCCTTATTCCAGTGGGTGTAAGTAAAACCCACTGGAATATACACAGTGTAAAAGTACTGAGATGTGCGGACTCACTCTCACACTCGCACAAACACACACACCAGCTGACAGGGCTTATAAAAGATTAGCTCTAACGAAGAGATAAAGATCCTGGCGTTAGTATAATCAGACTCTCCTGTCACTCCACCAAAGACGACAAAAGGAGCAATCGTAAGGGAAGGGAGAGGAGGCGAGTGAATGAGAGGAGGACAGGGAGGAGAGACTGGGTCCTGTCCTGCCCCTGTGGAAAAAAACTAACTGTAAACACCACTGCTACTCTGGAAGTCTGTAGACAGATTCTAACTCTTTGTGGTCACCAACATCCTCGTCAGATCAGTATAGGACACACGGGTCTAGGCAGCTTGTAGCATTGAGAGGAAGAGAGGAGGAAGGAGTAAAAGAGTGTGAGTTAAGGTTGGTGGAGGCCAGACTGGGACTACGACCTGGCTAGGAGCTGGTTATAAAAAAGGGATCAATGGGATAAGACCTCTCCTTGTTCGTTGTGAAGCTTCTTAAGGAGCCACAGTGGAAGAGAGAGGAAGAGAGAAAGGAGGGGGTTAGTCTGGGGAAAGTTGTCCCCCAGTCGCCCCCTCACAAAAGGAAGGGGTTGGTGGTTCCGGTGGGTTGCGTCCCGGCCTGGGGCGGCATGCTCATCAGGGGCTGGGGCATGGACACGGAGGCCGGAATCCCCACATTCGTCCCCACACCTCCGACAGCGCCAATCCCCATTCCGGGCATCACGCGGCCCATGGGGGCCATCCCTGCAAGGGGGACCATGTTGATGGGCTGAGCGGGCATGGAGGAGAGGACCATGGGCTCGGGCATGCCGCCGAAGCCGGCGGGCATGGGGCTGACCCGCATCTGGTTGAGAGTAGGGGGAGCTGGCTGGCTCACTTGGAAGGGGTTGGCATGGGATGCTGGAGCAAGAGCAGAGCCACCTGAAAAAAAGAGAAAGGAAGAAAGCAAATGTTACTGAGCTCACAGAGTACCATGGTAGCATATCGTACATGGTCAGTCAGGCTCTACAGTGAGGTGAATATTATGGCGATAAATAGAAATCCACATCCATAAATTTATGATAAATGAGGAATATCTGAAATTAATTGGGTATGATTAATCTCTCTGCCCTTTACAGCTAGGGCCAATGATTCAACATTAAACTGTGCAGATGGGTGTGTCTGCCCATGTGTGTTCAGGCCTGCACGTGTATGTGTATGTCCATGTCCCTTGGCTTAATGACTACACTTCCTGGCTAGTACACACAGTTATCTAATCTGTAAGAACTAACCAGTGTTTACCTGCTTAAAATAACTTCATGTGCATTTAGAAAAAAAAATAATTTCCTAAATGAACATCTCTAAACTCTGACGTCCATTCTGTAAAAATGCTAAAAAAAAAAAAAAAGTGGTAAGACTGAGAACATTTCAAGTTTTGAGAACAACTTTCTCATATTTTATCTTCGTCCCGACCCTCCCCCTACCTGTTGAAGCTAAGAATGGGTTGACGACTGGCGCAGGCTGGGCTGGTTTAGTCACCAGAGAATCCAGATTGACCAGGGCAGCATTGGGACCCAGGAAGGACTCTGGAGTCTTCCTAGTTGGGTTTGAGATGGCCGAAATAGACACGGAGCTGGGCAGGGGGTCAAAGAGGTCCAGGCTACCGCTGCTCGCGAGACTGGCTTGGGAGGGGATAGAGGACGCTATGCCCCCATCACCTGGGGAACAAAGAGCAGTTGTAGTTCACTGATGAAAAGTTGAACTATGTCATTAAACACTGAGACATCATGAATACAGGAAAGCAATATTTCTTATGTAGAGCAGCGCAGAGTTCAAGACTTCAACTCAAATCAGGCTTACTGTGCGAGAACAGAGGTACAGCGACCACAGTAAACCTGAGTTTGACACGGCTCCAGTTTTTTTTTTATCCCTGGGACACTGAACAGTTACACACATTTTGCATTACAAAAGGTCTGTTAAACATTTTTTTAAAAAGTGTATTTTTTGCCTATTCTCGCCTCAGAAAATATGCAAATAATAATAAGCAAATAAAAATAATCTATACTCTCACTTATCACCAACCACCCAATGGACCAGAACACAGAGCCCACCTGCAGGTGGTTACCAGGAAATAAAAATGAGTTGATGTAATAAAGTGATCAGAAGATGCTTTTATGAGAAGACATCAGAGTCAGACAGCTTTTTTTGTTTTTGATTTTGTTTTTTGCGGCAGCAGTGGAGACAATCATTAATGCACTTGCACAAACCCAGCATGCCAGCTGCCACTCACACACACACACACGGAAATGTCAAAGACGGAAACTGTAGCAGGGCCAAAAACAAAAAAAAGGCTCATGATAAGATCAGACAGGCCTCGTGGTTATTAACACCCATAAATCCTGTAGATTTCAGCCAGAGCTGATTCAAATAGTAATATTTCACCAACTCATCCTGAAGTTCGTGTCCTCAACACAGTGTGTGGCGATAAGGTGGCTGGTGTTTCAACGCTGTACGCCTGTGTTTATGTTCTGTCTCACCTCGTCCTTGACTGTATCAGAAGTTTGTGTGTTGAGCTGGAGCAAAAGTCACACACCAATGTCACGCTCCCACACCCAGAGGCTGACAAACCACACAGACAACACTCAGACCTGTGCCAAACAGTTCACTGGAACTCTCTTTCACAAAACAACCCAAGTGGAGTTGTGAATGGGTTTAATTCACACTTTTGGAACTTCCACTGTTGGTCCAACAGAGCAGATTTTAAAGCAGAACTAAAAGAGATTCCATTAACTAGATGGCCCAGGTCGAATAATGTATTTGCAATAAAATCAGATCACACCGCACTGATAGGGGACCAGACCAGAGCAAACGGCTACTTTCCCTCCATTTGATATGATTACTGTAGCATTTGATTGCGTATGTGGGGGAAAATCATCAACTCCGATTGTTCTTACGCTGCCTTTGCTAAGGTCTGGTGAAACTGACATTCAAAGACAAGACGTGTGTCTGCGCCCGGCATAAATAAACATTATATCTGCAGACGGGCATCATTTCAGACACTGAGGAAAGACCACACAGACTCCGTGTCAGTAGAGAGACGAAGACAAGGGTGAGTACCAGTGGGGACAGAGGAGGAGGAGCGCAGGCTGTCAAACTCTGAGAAGTCCTCTTTTGACGTACCGTTGGATGCACTGAACAGGTCAAAGCTACCTGAAAAGGGGACAACGCACACACACGCACACAGACAAAATCGCCCAAACAGGCAGCAGACACACACACGTAGACAGATGAAAACGCACAACAAGTATGAATGAGTATGGATATTTTGGTAAACAAAAAGAGACAAATGAACACAATAAGCAAGCGAAAGCATGCAGATGTGCATAAACTTTTGTTACTGTGTGCTATATGTGCCCCTTCTGACACAGCGGTTGAGTCTTTGAGACACTCAGCTAGCCATTAAAAAAAAACTCTCTATCCATTAAAATACAGCTCAAAGAGCGCAAACTTCCATAAACACTAAACAATTCTCCAAATGTCTTTTTGACTCAAATGCATCATTTCCAAAAGTGACTTTTCCCCTGATGGTCACCTGCGTTTGAAGTCTTGGGGCGGGCGGCTGCGGAGCTCCAGGGATCAGAGGCAGGAGCAGAGTTTGATGCCCAGGGATCAGTGCTCTTCAAGGGTGGGACAGAAGGAGGAGCGCCCCATGGGTCCGATGGGGCTGCTGGCTTAGGGGCAGACCCTGGGGAGAAGGGAGAGGTTCAGTGTAAGGGGGGGACGCGGAGGTTGGATGAAACGTACAAAACATCCTCAAATCACTCCACTGGTTTCCTGTCTCACTCAGGATTGAGTACAAGGTCTCCCTCCTTACCCACCAGTGCATCCATGGTGAAGCCCCCCCTACCTCAAGGAACTCCTCACCCCACAGACCTCAACACGTACCCTCCGATCTGCCACAGTATATCTCCTGAAACCTCCCAGAACCAAGCTATGTACAATGGGAGATCGGGCTTTCTGCTCAGCTGCTCCCAGTCTGTGGAATGCCCACCTGAGGACACCACAGACTGTGGATGCTTTTAAACGTGGCCTTAAAACCCACCTTTTTAGGAGTGCTTTTGATTGAACTCTTACCCTTTTCCTTATTATTTTTGTTTATTTTATTTTATTATTTATCATTTATTATTTTTATTTTCATGCTCTCCATGTGTTTTTATTTTTAGCACTTGACTGTTTTATCATGTAGCACTTTGGGATTTGCGTAAATATAAAGTGCATTACAAATTAAATGTATTATTATTATTACAAAAGATAAAGCCAAATTGGATGAAGAAGATGAGGAGGAACAGAGGAAGAGAGCAGGAGAAAGGTGCGAGATTTCAAATGAGAGGCAAAAGTGGTTTCACGCAGTTTCTGATAGCATGCATGGATTTGATCCGACCCATTCCTAAACTACTGCTCATCGGTCTACATTTACGTATCTGACTCCCCACAGCTTCCTCCCTTGCTTCTACACTCCTATCCTTCACAATATCTTCTTCTAACGTCCTCCCCCCTCCCCTCCTCTCTGTGCAGTAATGCTGCTGAGCCAGTTGAGCAGCATTCCTACTTAACAAAGAGTCACAGTCCTATGAGCTGCAGGTGGAGAGCAGAGACGACGACGAAACACACACACAGAAAAACTGACTCTTTACACAGATAGTTTTCAACAACGACAGTCAGTGTGTAGACATAATCAGATATGACTGTTTCCACTGAGCGAGAGTGTGTACTGTTTGTGTGTGTATACCATAAGGCTGCCAGGGGTCTTCTGATGCAGCAGCTGCCCCAGCCGCGGCTCCGGCCCTGGCGCCCCAGGGGTCAGCCGTGGCACCAGGCTCTGGGACATCCATCAGATCCATCAAAGATGACTGTGGCTGGACAGAGATGGAAGGGGGAGAAAAAAGAGAACAAAGGATGCAGATACAAGAGGAAAAATGAAGAATGGGAGGAAAGATAGAGAGGAAAAAGATAGAGAGGAAAAAAAAACGTTAGGAAGGACCATCTGTTGGTCAAGTCATTATCTTCTACAGCCCAAACACTATTCAAACATTCTGAGGGAGGTCATGTCGTTATGTGCTGAGATAAAACATGAGCCATAGTCATGCAGCCGTACTTCTTCATCACTTTAGATCTGCGTGCCCTCAAACTCCAGTCAGCCAGCTATTCAGGCAGAATAATGATGAGTAAAGTAGGCAGTCAGCTGCCAGTTAGTGGTTTCATTACCGCTACTGAAGCGGCAGATAGGGTCAGGCAGAAAAAGAGGATGGGGAGAGACAAGACTATTTCAGGAGCATGGTCATGATAATGGAATAACTGCGTCACTGTAACATCTTAGTGGTTGTGTGTATTTTACCCCTTTCTTTTTCTTGGGCAGTTTTACTGAGTCTGGACCTCCTTTCTTACTCTCCTCCAAGGCCATCTGTAGTCTCAGGTCGTCCCCTCTGCGTATACGCTCCTCCTGAACAAACACAGCACAGTTAGCATTTCCCCAACTGATGCATAGAACAGTACATTGGTATTGTAACCAAGCATCCTGGGTTTGCCTAATTTTATGAACTTAAGGAAACAATAAATGGTCCAAAATTCTGAATTTAAACATTTTAATTGACATTTTGTTGTAACACACCACACAAATTAAAAACCATCATTCCTCCCAAACTAAGGAGAGCTGAATCTCACTCATTTGTCTCTCCTGGCTCCCTTAAAGTCAAGATGGCGGTGAACAAAAATGGGGACTTATTCATCTCCTATTGTGCCTAACTTTAGTGGATCATATCGTATAAGGTATGGAATTCAAATGCAGATGCTCTGGTTCGAGAGGAGACCAAACGTTTCCAATGCATGTCAGTTTTTTAGCCACGTCAACGGCCATATTGTGGCCTGTAATCGACTAGGTAAGCCTTGCTTTCAAGCCTAGCTGATGGCCGGAAATACCTTTTTCTATATTGTAACGCACATCGTAACATGGTGAATACTGCTGAAAAGATGAAAGTCTAAGTTTTATCATAGGCTCAGTGAATAAAATAGGTTTATCAAAATTTGCGTAATGCAAACACAAATTTCCCTACGCGGGCAAACAAAAAGGAAATATAATGACATACTCATTATCTGCCATGTCAGCAGATCTGTGTACTTGTGTTTGCTTTACCTGCTCTGCCGCCTCTCTACTCATGGCCAGAGCAAGCTGCAGCTGTAGCTCCTCCTCTCCGCTGGTCTGAGGTCTGGCCTGCTCAAGTTCTGAACCCGCATTGGGAGATGTCGCTGTAAGACACATTCAGAACGTATGTTAACATCACTAACACATTAGACTCCATCACACACTGTATATACTATAATTATACCAAAAACTAGTGTCGCTGGTTATGGAAATTCTCTCACCAAATTCTGATAATAATAATAATAATAATAATAATAATAATAATAATTCATACATAGACATATAACAGTGTTGTCTAGTAAAGGAAGTCACATTTGAATTACATTTGTACTGTATAGAAAATACTGTGTGTGTGTGTGTGTGTGTGTGTGTGTGTGTGATTAGGGGCCTTTGGTTAGGGCTGTAAGAGGGGACAGGTTCATTCAGCTTATTTGATTACATCGGGCCATGTGGCAACACAAAAAACCACACGTTGCATGTGGTGCACACACATATAAGTCACAATGCCAAAAGACACTCATTAAGGTAGCGTGGAGCGTATTCTTCAATTCATAGTATGACTGTTTCTTTGGTAAGACCAACTTTGCCTTTTCCGAGGGAACCTTGGCGTGGGAGGTGATGAAGACCCAGTGACATCACCACATCGCCCATAGCACTTCTTGACTTTTCTCTCTATATAATGTCATTGCTTCTGCGTCACCATTTCTCAGCACTCCCAGCTTATTGCAGTTCTGTACATGTGTGTGAATGTTGTGGGTGTACAATGTCTGGCGCACTACACATGTGTTTTCATGGGCTTAATTTAAGATTTTCTATGCAATTGTTCATATTCAAACTCTGTTACACTCCACTATAAAAATAAAAATATGTGGTGTGAAAATTAAATCTTAACATTTTGGTGGGATCTTCACCCAACCTAAGAATATTCTTCTCAGACCTGAATGTTGCTCTTCTTCTCCAACATCAAGAATGAACATTGTCTCTCTCCTCCTGGCCTGCCTTTTCTTTTCTCTTCGTCTCAGCTCCAAACAACAAAACACCAGTCATGACATGCTCTGCTGCTGATGTAGACACTCCCAAACACACATATACACACACACTCAATACATCATGATGATCTTGCGTTCCGTGTTACATCGTTTCGATAGCTATTCTGAATGCAAATGCTTAGGAAATGACTCGTAAGGACTTTAGAGGAGAGACAAAACAACCTTGACAATTATGACTAGGGGAAACACGGACTGTTAGTGTCACTATTTGACACAATTACTCTGACAAACATCCTCTGTCAAGTAGGAAGTAGATGCTACATCAGCAGGTTTCCTACAAACATTACTAAGTAAATTTGCCACATCAAATGTTTCCATGATGAGGAAATTGAATAAACAATGTTTTTGTTTTTTTAAAGGAATAATCTGACATTTCCATTAACAGATAACAGGCTTGGCATTCCTTGAAATGACTGAAGAAAGCAGTTGCAACTTAATCATTTTGGGACCTGCCAAGTGTAACAACATATTAAGCGTATTTTGTGTTGATCAAGTAGCTGTCATTACAGCTGAATTTCCGCATGACTCCTAAAATTTTGACAACTTATGTATTTTTAATAATAAATTCACTGCGCCTGTCCTGCAACTCTGGCCTCAGACCTTGGTCCTTGTCTTCTCTCCTTCCTCCTTGACTCCTTTCCTGCCTCGCTTGCTCCTCGTCAAAACCCATGTCTCCCTACCACCATCTCCAAGTTGTGTGTCTCCAGGGAAAGTAACCAGAAGCCCCGAGGCTAAAAGTGCTCTTGGTTAGCTGGGCTTGAGCCACAGCATTAACATCAACTACGCGTCTGCCTTTAATAGATGGTGCTACTAACGCCCACACAGAGACAAATATGACCCTGCAAAATATGCTGGAATGATATATGTGAAATTGTGGACAACATCAAACTTGACAAAGAGAGCAGACACATGTCTCAGTCCTTAGCTAAGTAACAAAATGTGTGTGAAAATTATGTCTTCGACAATATCTCCCGTTAATGTTAAGTAACAATCTTCTATCAAAAGGAATATTTTCCTTGAGCTTCCATTAAATCTCTCCAAAAACAACTGCACTGCAAAATGTGGCTTCAACAACAGCTTTTTCAACCACTAAGCCTAAAGAGAGACTAAACTGGCAACACAATGACACACAGTGCAACACTTCATAGAAGCAAGTCAGGAAGACAAATAAACAGAACTCAAGGCCAACTACGTATATACTATTTCTTGCCTGCCACTGTGGGAATGGACCATATACAGATAATCACGCTTTCTTGGCAGTCCTCACAGACACAGCTCTGCCTGCTAAAAGAAAAATGCTCAACTTTCTGGGTCAGTTCTTCTACAGTTAGATAAGAAACAACTGGACTAAACAGCTGTCATCTTCATTTTCAATACACAGAATACTGAAATTAAACAAACTTTAGCTTGCAAAACCCTTCAAACAAAGATTAAGTGCAGCATGCAATCCAAGTGCAGAACAGAGATAACCAAGTCTTGGAGTAAGTGAAATGGGCCGATGACCGCTCGTGTCATCGAAAGTAGATTTATGTGGTGATAATAGCGCACAGGATTTTTATCCCAGGGTGTCAACCGCTAACGATCTCCACATTTGCAGACTTTGTCTCTTGTCTCTCTAGATAAAGAATTACGGGACTGTTAGGCAGTTCCTTAAATGCACAGTCTAGATTCTTAAACAATGTGCGACATAATGTCTTCATATGTTTTCCCAGACCTTTGTGGGAAGTACATCACGCAAAGGCAGGGTCTGGACTGAGCACTGGTCAGTATGGTGACAGACAACCAAAGAGGATGATCATAAAACTAAATAAACACTTGGAGCCCTGCAGGGCTCAACAATAAAGATTCCCCAATTGCCTGGGGCAAGTAAAATGCCACGTCAAAATGCCACGTCGGGCTTGTAAATCTAGCAATACACTTGCCCAATCGAGCATTCTGTAAAAAATAATTAAACACATTTGGTGTAATTTATTATCTAGCCGCACCCCCTCCCCTGTTCTGTGTCGGGGCTGAGCAACTCCACAGACACACACACACACACACACACACACACACACAGTCAGCGGACAGCAGATCAGAGAGGCCAAAGGGAAAATACTGAAGTTGAGGATGACTTAACTATAAGTAAGTGCAATAAAACCTTTGTGAGTAAAAAGCTTATACGTTATCAATACACCTGTTCAAACAGCATAAAAATATAGTGACTTTGCGGTTGTAAACATTTCTGATGCCAGTGTTCGCCATATATTCATTTAGGAGTGGAAGTGCGCCGCTGCTGATTTATGACCACAGCTACTAAAATTTCCCACAATCATTAAACTATACACTAATGTTTTCAATCGCACACTTTGCGAGCGCGGTAACACTCTTGCTTGGCTACCTTCCTCTCCTCGTTCTTGAAGTTCCATGATAACGTTAGTGTTTGTTCCTACTCCATTTTCAGTGTAAAAAAACGACCAAAAAACAGCGATTTTAAGCCGTTTAGCTCGGCAAGATGAGAAAATTCATACATCAGACATAAAAGTTGATAACCGATGTCTGATTGAGTTTTTAGGAATTCCTAACCTGAGATAAGATAAGATGAAGAAAGATAAGATAGGATTCCTGAAGTTAGTTAGGATTTGCTTCTGTAATACCAAATTGGGAAAAATTGTACACTATAAAGACATTTTAATGCCTTACATTAATATAAGATATTTTGGTGACTGCGAGATATGCTAAGTCAACACCATGGCATGGCTGCTCATTTACACACTTTCTGGACAACAATACTCGGAAAGTTTGACTGGAATCCCAAAAATCCCTCCTGGCAACGCCCACAGCGGCAGCCCAGCCTCTCTCCTACTGGCCGGTCTCTCCTTCAGTTTTCTCAAATGATGACTCAGCTGCTGGAGCTTCCACCTCCGAGCCACAGACTCAAACACAACGCACATGTAGGAATGTGGGCCAAAGTAAAAGATGAATAGGCAACACGCATGATCCATGCAGGCTGAAACCACATGCGTGGAGACAGACAAACACATAGCCATAGGCGCGCGCACGCACACACAGACACCGCCATCCTGCTGTGTACAAAAGACTGGGGGTCAGAGGATGAAAGGAAGGAGGCCAAGCTTCACTCTTTCAATTCTCCATTCTTCCCCTCCGTCCCGCTCTGTGTTACCCCATTTCCTGCCTGGGATTTCTGTTTCTTCTCAACTCTCCCCCTCAGTCACTCCATCTTTCTTTCAATCCATTTGAACACTGCTAGTTACAGGAGGAGCAGAAAAGAAGCCCCTGAAGTGTCACTACAATCCCACTTTACTAATTTCCCTTCCCTAGTCCCTCTTTGTTACTGAATGTTATCCAAGTCTGGTTCCCATTCACTTGTTTTTTTCCCCCCATCTCTTAGTGCCATCTTCCTTGTGGTGGCACCATCTGACAGTGTATTTCTATATATTTCCCCTCACTGTGTCACTGGAGGAGTGAGTGTATCATTAAAAAGAGGAGCATATTCCTCTGTCATGTGGATGATAGAGGCTGTTGGGAGGAGGGGGGTGAACTCTGCTTCCTCTTCTGTGTGTGTGCTGAGGAATGCAGCCCTACTGCGGGACTGCGAGCCAGAACAGGGGGAGGGGCATGTTTCAGGATGTAGGCCAAAGTTGCACCAACTGGGACACAATACAGTATAATGCAATATTCTGTTTTAAATTTATTGCTTAAATGTATGGAATGAGCCCCGTGTGTGTGCGCAGCCCACACACACACACACACACACACACACACACACACACACACACACACACACACACGCCAATACTCACAGCCATGGTAGGAGGCAGGTGAACCCTCCGACCTGCCATACTCTTCGCTGTAGGAAGTGGAGAGGTTGGGCTGTGATGAGCCTCGGCCAAAACCCATCTGACTGCTCCCTGTGGACACCTGTGCCATACGCTCTTTGGTCTTCAACGCTTGAGACCTAGTAGAACAAAAAGACATAACAGCATTTGATCAGTCATCTTGACTCAAGTCTTTTATGTCAAGATTTTTATGATCCTTGGTGTGACGTCCTAAAGGGAATATAAGAATCAGGCTTTTCAAGTGATTTCAGTTCTAAAATACCATGGTTAAATCAGTAATTAGAATTAAACATGCTGCCCAACAAATGTTGAAGCCCCTCTTGGGCCAATTAGTATAATTCTGGAAATGATTCAATGCCCTAATTTTTTTGCCAAATCTGATCAGCCTCTCAGATGTGTTATAAAAAGACTCTTTCTAAATTCAGTTATTCAGCAATATATTCAAGTAAAGCCAGAGCGAATCCCATGAGGTAGACAACTCATGTCCAGTGTGGTGTTTGCTTAAAACTGTTAAGCTGGGAAAGGCATCAACTCTGTTTTTGAAGTGCAATAACTTTGCACTTCTTATCAGTGATAGAGATCCACTGTAAATGACCAAACGGCAGACGGGATATGGAGGAGCATGGACTTCCCGGGGATCAGTTTTCATTTATCACCAACAGGAGTGGAAACACAATGAGTCCTAAAGTACCCCAGCTCCCGGGGGGAAATAACACAGTATGATACTATAAGGGAAAAACCCATGGTAAGCCCCCAAGTCCTTTTACTTTACAATTTGTTTACAGTGAATACTGATGACCATCAGCCAGTATAATTATTACAATACTTCCACAGTCTCAAACTACTGTATTGGAACTGTTTATAGTAGTCTTTTGCAACTGCATTAACAAAAGCAGCAGCTACCATTAAAAACTGCCCACACGCAAATGAGCTTAGGTGAACTTTTCACAATAGCGTTGGGCACAGCCTTATACAGTATATCAGACTCATGGATGTGTTCAAACTTGACTTATAAAAGCTCTTACCTCTCTCCTTTGAGGCGGTCCTCGTCTTTGAGCAGGACCACCAGCTGCTTGCTCTTCTCCCTGACGTTGATGCCCTGGTCTTTGCCGTCTCTGTCAATGTACTGGAAGTCCTTCAGAGTCTGGATGGCGAAGATGTTCTCTTTGCACTGCAGCGCCACTCGCTCGGAGCCCGTCTTGATCAGGTAGTCGAGCAGGGTGAGCGCCTTGTAGACGTGGCGCCAGTTCTTGCCGTGGTCGTTCAGCCGTTTCCAGATCATGCTCATGATCTCGCTGAAGGCCACCACGTTGTAGGTCAGGTCGGCGATCTCAGACATGAGGGAAGACGACGGGCCCCAGGGGTCGTTGGAGGTGGCCTCTCTGACTTTCTTCTCCGCATCAGAGTAGTTGTTCACCATGTTCTTCATCTGCCGGCGGATGGTGGAGCTTGGCATGGTGGCAGTGGAGATGGGACGGACAGGAAGAAATACGATGTAAGCTCTCACACAGGAGAGGAGCTAGGACAGAGATAATGTAAGGGTAGGGAGGCTAACACACAGAGGGTGTGGGTGCGTACTTCCGCTGAAGCTTGTGTTACGTGTCCATGCGCCTGTGTGTCCTTTGTCAAGGCACGGCGGTGGCGTGTGTTTGTGTAAATCTTCTAGTGTACAAGGTGTGTGCGTGGTGTATGTGGGCTTTTGTTTATGAGGCTTCTCCAGGCCAGTGTAGTGTTCCTGAGTCCTCCAGAACGCCGTCTGTTAAAACCATCTCCACACACACAGTGCCGGCTGCACACATGACCACGCCATCACCTAGGACAGACAGACAAATAACAGGTCAGTGGAAAGCAGAGAAGAAACAAGAGGGGGGAAAAAACAAAGTGAAAAATGCTCCATACAACCAAACTAAGAGAGCAAACACCCCAACACTTCCGTGGTGCCCAAGTAACTGCCCACATGGCAAAATGCCAGCAGCTTAGTAGCACTATGACAACTTCATGTTTCACTCAAACTAAAATGTTTGTTGTATGCCAATAATCCCAGCTAATCAAGTTAGTCACACTTGAAGCATATAACATTTAATACAACTTACCTTTCACTACAAAAAAATAATTATCTGTATGAATTTTGCTTTAATATTTCAGACACTATTTTGATTGAAATGACAAAGACATACAATGAAACATCTGCTTAAAGCAAAAAAAAAAACAATGTCATTGTGATCCAAATTTCCACATCTAAATAATATGATTGTGAAGATAATTTGTATTTATAGGGGCAGCTGTAGTGCTTTCCTTTTTGAAACCAGACAAAACAATGTTTCATACTTTCAAACTTAGATAAGCAATTTCCACGCACTTGCACAGAGCCTGCCTCCTTCATTTAAAATCAAGGCCAAGAATTGTTTCCACTTTTCTAATTACACATGATTTTACAGTAACCTGACTCAACTGCAAATTACAAGGCAGGGTGTTGCAAATGAATCATTTCAGCCAAGGCAGTCAGGTCTGTGTGGTGGTGGTGGTAAAGCTGCTCAATGGATGGGCTTGCAGGGTAAGAAATCGGGGCCTAGGCTCAATAGAGTCATCAAGAAACTAAATAAATAAATCTTTTTACTAAGTAAATAAAATGCATCAATGCTTCATTTAATTACTATAACTACCATACCATAACTATATACACTATGCACTGTTTTGCACAGACAATTATTACTTTTGCACAACACACTTATGCTGTGGACGTGAAGACGGCGTGATTTGATGGTGCGTATGGCAAAATGGAGGAAGAGAGAGAAAATAGGGAGGAACGAAGAGAAGAGACAGACCAGAGGATGTTCAAAGTATGGGATAATTTCAAGATAAAAGAAAACCACAACTTTGTGCAGTGTGTCTACTGTAAAACGTAGGGCCCTATGATTTTCGCGATGTGGACAGAATTGAATAACTGTAAAAGGCGGAATGTCGCAGATTGATTAAATACAAAGTCAATGCAAATATGCAAATTCGCTCCGAGCGGTGCGGAAGATGTGTTGCGACATTCACTGGTTTGTTAGAGTTAAAATTTTTTAACTTGAGCGAGAAATTCGCATGACGCTACCAGCACTTCCTTTAGTTTTTGGGATTACAACGTTGATTTATCTTCACTTGCGCTTCTCAGCAGCTAGCTTCCATGCATTTCCGGGTCCACTGTTGTTGTTGCCGTCGGTTGGCACCCAGGACTCTGTTAGACTGTTCTTATTTATATAAGAAACGAACAAAACTGGACATTGTTTGGGGAAAAGAAAGCGAGGAAGTTGAACTACCCGGTGAGTTCAGAAAATGTGTCTGTAACTTCATTCCAGCTATCGTTGTACTTTACTGTGAACAAGTTAGCATAGCCCTGATCAGTCCGAACTCCATTCAGAAAACAAACATTTAAAAAGTTATCCTGCTGTCTTGCTGACAGACCTGATAAACAATGAATTCATGCGTTTAACAAATCTGCATCATACTGTAGTTATTTCGGCATCAGTTTGATCCATTTTGATTTGATCCATTGGAATGAAATCACACAGCGTAAGCGCGATGTGCGACAGTAATAAATGTCTGTGCCCTGCGAGGAAAGCGTTGCGAGGATTAAATTTGTGTAGTATGTGAACACACCATAACAGTTACACCTAATCGCCAAAAACTCTGATTTGTAGATACATGACATGAATTCTATGTTTAATTAAGTTCTCAAAGCAAGATTATAGTTGAACAAAACCTCTCTTTGAACTTAGTTACCAGTTCATTAGATACACCTTCAAATACACTCAACACAAGTGAAGCTGTCATGTAAACGTGAGCTGACAAATAAAAAAAAACTGTGCAGCTGCAGGTGTGCCTAAGGAAAGGATTATACTTTCCCTCGCGGACGCGGACTACTTCTGTTTATACTACTTTCTGCAGTCAGCTGGCAGACACATTCCACACATGCGCAGTAGATCAGTTGGTGCCCTGGTAGCGCTAGTCGCCACGGCGGTCACAAAAAATGGGAGGCACGCAGACGTCCGCGGAGACCCTCTGATGACGATTTTTCCATCACGCAAACCCTAGCGGACCCTTGCGTACGCGGAAAGTATAATCCTTGCTTAATACATTTTCCCGGACAGTCTCCCTCTAAAATTTAACGTGTGTATGTGAAACTGCAGTCCAAGGACATTTAGAGGGAAATTCATCTGAACAGGCACAAAAGTGAGAACTGATTTTAGCAGAGTTGGATTCAAAGTTTGGCCCCCTCCATTTCAGATAAACTCAAGCATCATTCTCAGACAAATTAGCCTTCATCTGTGAACGATGGGTGAGTAAAAACGTTTCCACCCTTTGGTAGGTGGCAGGGGAGATAAACCATTTCCAGTCTGACGACGACGAGACTGTCCTGTTTCTAACAGATCAGCAGCCCAGCTACTAATCACTTCCTGACACACACACACAAACACACACGTATGGAAAGTGTGTGGACACTCACAGCTGTGCAACCTACACATCTAAGTTCCATAAGCAAAAACTCAGCAAGTATCATTATGTTATGAAACACACATCTGCTAATGCGTTAACCGAGTAGTGCCCTTATGTTTATGTGATATGGGGCTGCTTGAAAAAAAATAATAAAAAAATCGATTTCACAGAAATACAATATTGTAACAGTTTTAGCTCAGATGCAAATACGCCATAACAGGATATCCTTGTCATGATCATTTACCCAGATTGTTACAGAGCCTTGTACTGTCTTGAGTGCACACAAACTCTTATCCCCTCACTGCCTGCATTGCACCATACTGACACAGTTACATACATTCATCAAATCTTGTTTAAATCATTGTTCTCATTAACAAACATTTAGGCTTTCTGAGTTCTCTTCGTGCCCACTTTTCCCTCTGCCTGCCATCAAGGGAGACTAATGATGACTTATCCTATTCAGTTATCTGATCCCTGCGCCAAGCGTGCACAGACGTGCCCCACAAACAAGTGCATTCATGAAGAACAGTATGAAAGTCTATGCAGACTCTGTTAAACATGACAATTTAGCAATTGGCAATTGGAGTACGTTCATGCATGTATATGTGCCATGCAAAGACAGCCGGGGGGGGGGGGGGGGGGGGGGTGAGGAAACAAGGAGGAGTGTGCGTGTATGGGGGGGGGGGGGGGGGGGGGGGGGGGGCATATACCGTAAATTCACTTATCTGCAATAAAATGTGATTCCCATGGAGCATGCCTTCCCAAATGTTCCCTCGTCACCCTCCTCCTCGCCCTGCATCCGCATGAATACCGCTCAGACCTAATGACACATCTGCTGCTATAATCACCTATTCACCCATAGCAGGCTGAAGGAAGAGAGGAGAGTCTGTCTTGTCCATCCAAACCCCCCCCCGCACACACACCTCCTTCACACCCCGGAACAACCCCCACCACAAGACACCGCTGGCCCGCCTTCCTTCAGCCCTTCTGTGCTAAGATCACCAAGGCCCCCGAAGAGACGGCACACACTTTTGTGTGTGTGTATGTGTGTGTGTATATGCGCTTGTGTCTCTGGATATGCAGGTTTATTATTATCTGAATGGCTGAGCCTGTTATTCTTGTCAATCGGCTTTGGCGTTGGTAGAAAAGGAAGATAACCATAAAAATCATTTAGTCCAGTATAGGGCTGCACGATTTGGAGAAAGTCATATTGCGATTTGCAATTGCGATTCGATTATAATGGAACAAATGGCACTATGAGTCTACTTGCTTAGCCTAATTATCAAGGAAAATGCACAAAATACTGACATTTTGAAATGTGTATTTCACAACTTGAACAAAGTTAAACAATAAACAATATTTATAACAATAACTAGTAAAATAGATGTAAAACAGAATAAGGGGTCATGTTGCTCTACGGAGGAGGTGGCTAGAAGTAACACATATTGGGACACTGGCACAATGTACATCTGTCTAATGCAGAGTCTCTAGGAGGAACTGTACATGAGTGTATTAAATAAAGAGTATAATGTTTAGTATACTTGCTAGAATAACAATAATATTAAATACTACATTAATTATATTAGTATACCTATTTACCACTAGTTGAATATTAAATTCAGTTACTGCCGTTTCATTTTTGTGGGTTGTTTTTATTCATTAAGTCTTAAATGTTACTGGCAGACTGTTCAAAAATCATTTCTCATTGTATGTATAGGCTTATCAGTATTTAGTGGTACATACGAGAGCCTGGTGTAGGCGGAGATAATGAGCAGACTGCTGCGCACACAGAGAAGAGAGTCACACACACTTCTTCTGTTTTATTAACTGGCACGCTTTTTGAGGTTATGTAATTGCACATGACGACATCGCGATTAGGTTAATCGTACAGCCCTAGTCCAGTAGGTTAAAGGTTCTTAAAGGCTGAGATGATCTCATATGCTTATCATCTGCTGGCATGCTTTGTCTCTTCCCCTCTCTGCCCATCTATATCTGACTGACACAAACAAGAGGTTTAAGGACATTTTTGGAGAAATTAACAAAATTGGGTAAACATGGGTATCTACTCAATCCAGTCCTGTCCCCTCATTTATAATTTTAAAAAACTGTTTATAAATCAGTTATTTTGTTGTCAATTAACTAAATCTTAAACCTTGTGGTTGAGAGATATGGTGACATTTTCTATGACACAATAGAGATGTATCTACGTGTAGATACGTTGCGCTACATTGCCCAAAGGCATTATCAGATTTGCATTGGATACCATTTAAATTAGATATTTTCTCTATAACTCTATTTTTTTCTTACTTCTGCATCAAGTGAGTCCTGAGGTCG